TGTCTCTTGTAGACAGCATATTGATGAGTGATCTTTTCTTATCCAGTCTGCAACTGTCCCTCTCTTGAATGTTGCATTTAATCCACTGGCATTCAGTGTAATTATAGACAAGTTTGCATTTGTTGCTGCCATTTTCTTACTGGTTTTTTCATGGTGTTCCTGGTTTCTTTGTTCCATGTAATTTTCTGTGCTGAGCTCATAATGTTTACAAATTATGTTATCATTTCTTTCATTGCTACTGTTTCAGTATTTGCCAAATATTTGTGCTTGCCCTCTTTTTTATTTTGATGTGAAGGTTTATCATTTTTCTTTGCAGTTACTCTGTGATTTATACTCTTCTCCCTGAGTTTATAATAGTCCATTCTGTCTTACAACTCTCTTGACTTCCTCACCATTTAGAAGTTCTGTAACTACACAGTATTTTCCCTCCTTTTGGTTTGTAGTTGTCCTCATTTGCCAAGGGATGACTCTGGTTCCCTGTTACAATCTTGTAAGCTTATTTTACTTTGGATACGTCCATAGCTGTGTTGGTTCTGGGTTATGTCATCTTGTGTTATTAATGGTCGGTTGTTGTTTGCTATTATTGGTTCCCTGTTCAAAGTCTCCCTTTAGCATCTCTTGTAAGGTTGGTCTAGTTTTAACAAATTCCCTTAATTTCTGCTTATCTGGAAATGTCCTAATTTCACCATCATAATTAAGGGACAATTTTGCCAGGTATATAATTCTTGGATGGAAATTTTTCTCTTTCAGGGTTTTATATATACCATCCCACTGCCTTCTTGTTTACATGGTTTCTGCTGAGAAATCAGAATGTATTCTTATTGGTTGTCCTTTGTAAGTAACTTTTTGTTTTCCCCATGCTGCTTTCAAGATTCTTTCATTGTCTTTGGTTCTGATGAGTTTGATGATATGTCTTGGTGATTTTCTTTTGGGGTCCATCCTGTTTGGGGTTTGCTGTAATTCCTGAATGGATATATTCTCATCTTTCATCATATCAGGGAAGTTCTCTTCCAACAAATCTTGGAAAATTTTCTCAGTGGTTTTCTTTTTCTCTTTTTGTTCCAATGACACGTAAGTTACTCCTTTTGATGGTATCCCACATGAACCTTAGGCTTTCTTCATCTTGTTTTGATCTTTTTTCTAATTGATCCCTTTCCAAAGAAGTATTCAGGTATTTGTCTTCAATCTCATTAATTCTGTCTTCCATTGCATCAATTCTACTCATTTACCCTTTCAATGTGTTATCTATTTCTGACAATTCAGTATTAATCTTCTGGATTTCTATTTGTAGATTTTGAATCATTTCTAATTTTTCATTTATTTTGTCATTTTGTTCTTGTATTTTCTTCCAAAATTCTTCTAGGGTTTTGACTGTGTTTTCCTTAATTTTGTCAGTGTTTTCCTTGATCTGTCTCTCAATCCTTTCAGGATATAATTCTTTTGAATTCCTTATCAGTGAGTTCCAATGTTGCTTCCTCCTCCGGGATGTGTTCAGGGTCTGTATCCTGCTCTCTTGTTTCTACCACTTTATCATACTTCTTTGTGTGGACTGTGATGGTCTGTTGTCTCCAAGATATTGTGACGTTGTTGTATTCAGATCTCTGTTAACTATTTGTAAAGAGCACTTTAGGGTGAGTTAGGCTGTTCTTGGTGGTTGTTTATCACTGGCCAGTTGGTGGAGAGGGAAGTGGTGGCTCTCACTCAGTCAATGAAGCTTTCCAGTCGTTAGCATCCAGAATGTCCTTGTGGTTCCCGGCATGTGGAGCCTATTCTTAATTCCCTGGAATCTGGGAGAACACTGTTGCTTTAAATATTCAAAATGGTCAAACCCCTTGTAAACATTCAAAATGGCTACACCTTCCAGACCAGCAAAAGTCCATAGCTCAGCCCGCCTTCTTCTTCGTTGCTTCCCCTGTATTCACCAGCCACCAGTGCAGTCCTCCGTGCAGCCCTTGGCTAGCAGGGCCAATTTTTATGTAAATTCTTAGGTCCTAACACCAATTGGTAATAGCCAAGCTGTCTGTACCATCAGGATTGCTCATAGACCACAGCTCTGTATGTCACCTTTTTTTGGTGTTTTTATGCAAGTTCTTCTACTAGTTGGATTTTAGTCCACTTCTATATCCTTCCCTTTAAAGCTCAGGGTGCCATGATTATCTTCTGTATCTGTGTTAATTGGTTTCCCTTTTCTTTGTTAAAGAGGATCTGTGTAGTCTGTCTGCCTTTCCGCCATCTTACCAGACCTCTACGTGTATTATTTTTTGGAAAGCAAATATAATTTTTTAAAAAATGGTGGCATGTAAACACATTCAAGTACACACACATAATTAATCTTAAATATGAAATTTTCAACACTTATTAGAGTCCCCTGACAGTATTACATTAAGAGTACTTTCTGGCGATCTTCTGTCTATATATAGACTATGAGACCAAAAGAATTAGATGGTGCCAGGCTACCACCATCAACCACTTGGAGGAGAATTTATGTAGGAGATCTTCGATAGAGTAGATGTTGGAATAAAACTCAAAATCATAGGAATAAAAGGAACTAAGTTTGCTGGTCTGACAGATCCTGGTAGAACCTCGAGATTATAGCCCTAAGCTGCCCTTCAGGTCTGGAGTTGAACCCACTCCTTTGGCTGCCAGTCAAACAAAAGACAGGGATATGAGTAAACATTTACATTAGGTAGATACACTCCTGGAAGAGATAAATCATGGGAGAATAGAAGGGCTGTGTATGCACAGGGAGACAGCTCGGTGGGTAGGAGTGCATGGAAGGGAAGGACACATGGAAGAGGTAACTATGGGGAGGAAGTGGGAAGAGAGCTGTTGCACTGTGGGAAATTGAAGTCAATGTCATGAGACAGAGTGTATGTGGACTGCTGTACGGAGAATGAATTTGCTCTGTAAACTTTCACCTAAATCACGATAAATTTTTTTTTAAAAAAAGAGTATATTCTGACTAGACTTTAAGAACTATGTATATTTAAGAAGTCATGTACAAAGCATAAACTTCTCAATTATTTTCTGTAATTACAAATCTCTTTCCATGAAAAAATTTTTATTTCACAAAGGATTTCATCTATAAAACATATACTTCTAAGAATCTCAATGGTGATTTCAAAAAGTAACAAATTAGTAATATGAAATTATTTTATCCTATCTCTAAAGGAATAAGGGAAACAGGAAAATTCACAGTAGAAGGTAACTGTCCTTTCACTATGAACTGAAGTGATCCAACTATTTTTGGTAAACAGCAGCAGACACTATGCAGACATTATCCTGACACTATGTGTCAGGGAATCTGTTAAATAACTCTTTACCAAGAAAAGCCACAAAACTCACTAAATTATATGAAGTGTTAGGCAGAAACATGGCTGCCCCACTTTTGTGCGTCCTCTTCTCCTTACTGCGACCTTACATGAAGCATTTGTAATAAATGCATAAACCGAACTTGCGGAATACTGGCTAGGTATCTTTTCTCTTTATGTAGTATTTTGTCAATAAAATACCTCAATAACTTATAGGCATTGACTAAACTGTGATGCAAGAGTAAAGAAAAGGGGATGGAGGTGGTAGTGGTGGTGGTGTTTATGTACTGTCAATTCCAACTCACAGAAACCCTTAATACAGAGTAGATTTCCTCTAGGGGTTCTTGGGCTGTGATCAATCTGGGGGCAGATTGCCAGGTCATTCTCCCATGGAGCAGCTGGTCGGTTTGAACCACTAAACTTTCAGTTCGCAACTGAGCACATAACAACTGTGCCACAAGGGGTCCTGGAACAAAGGTTAAGACTACAGAATTAGATGTAGTCCAGAGTTGAGTAAAAAGCATGCTGAGTCATTCTAGCAGTTTTAATAATGGAAGGAAGTGAGGTCTCTGCTGAAGATGAGTAGGGGTATATATTTGCAGCCCTGGGAGGAAGAGAAATAAATTAAGAGACTGCTTTTCATATCTGATGCTATGATCAAATAAGAGATGTTATAAAATTGATACCAGCATGGCTGGTATCCTTCTAAAGATGGTGAACCTGGCTTTTGAAGGCCATGACCTAGGTGGAATTTAGCACACTAAAAGTCTTGCTATAAAAGTAAAAGATCATAGAAGTAGCGTTATTCTTCATGCTTATTTCTTTATGACAGACGAACCATAGGGACAAGGCTGCTTATGAAACAGATCTCTTATTTTACCAACACAACACACCAATTCTTTGAAAATGTAGTGAAAAAGCACCTACCTGAGGTAATTCTAAGGAGTTCAGGTGGCATAATACCTTAAGGCATTTGACTGCTAACCAAAAGGGTGGCGGTTCAAACCCACCAGCTGCTCTGCTCTATGGAAAGAAGATGGGCAAACGCACTTCCATAAAAATTTACCGCCTGGGAAACTCAATGGGGTTTGTTGATTATGAAATAGATCTCTTATTTTACCAATACAACACACCAGTTCTTTGAAAAGTCAGTGAAAAAGCACCTGCCTGAGGTAACTCTAAGGAGTTCTGGTGGCATAATACCTGAAGGCATTCGACTGCTAACCAAAAGGGTGGCGGTTCAAACCCACCAGCTGCTCTGTTCTATGGAAAGAAGGTGGGCGAATGCACTTGCATAAAAATTTACTGCCTGGGAAACCCAATGGGGTTTGTTATGAGCTGTAATTGACTTGATGGCAGTAAGTGAGTAAGGTGATTCTAGGATTATGGAGACTATACTTTAGGCCCAGATCTGTCTCTATATTGCAATGGAAATTTGGGAATGTCATTAAACTTCCACAAGTCTTGTTTTCCTTATTTCTAAACATTTTATTAAAGTATACTATTTATTTCAAATTATTCCAATCCAAGATAAAAAGTAATTTCAAAATTATATCACTGTTACATAAGTGTACCATGTTGGACTTATGAAGATTTTAAACTTAAAGTAGTTCTTGCTTATCTTTGTATTCCAAAATCATTAAGTATATTGTCATAAGCTTGTTATGTAAATAAAATAAGCTTTGTTACCTGATCTGAGAAAGTGTGTGGTCTAACTTCTTCCACAGAGATGACATTATTGCTGGCACATCATTTGATGTTTCTAAGAACGTAAGTAGAAAATAAACCCTATGTTTAAATATTTTTATTTAAACCTTAATAAACCAAGGTGAAGAATAACCATCATTCAGTTGAACAAAGATACATTAAATCAACATGTAAACTTTCCATCAATTGTTGACCTTATGTTGGGAATTGAGCAGAAAGTCAGTTTTGCAAAATGACCTGCAAAGCAATAAGGCTGTTTCTTTTTAATCAGGTCACTGGGTATCAGATGCAATGAAAGTAGAAGTGGACATCTGTGAAATATACGAAGCTTTGTTAGGCCAATGAATTTTTATCTTCTTTGTATTAAAATGAGAAACTTTTTTCAGCTTTGTTTTATTATGTAAAAGTTAATTATAATAATTTGCTTTGTAATTATCATAAAAGTTATGCTAATTCTCAACAGTGTGGAAATTAGTTTTCTACATCCACACATCCAAATCACAGTGATTGCTCAGTAACCTCTAAAAATAAGGCTGACCAGTAACTACTTAGGAGCTCTGGTAGCATAGTGGCTAAGACACTTGCCTGCTAACCAGACGGCTGGCGGTTCAAACCCACCAGCCACTCCTCGGAAGGAAGGTTGGGCAATCCTACTTCCGTAGTGATACTGCCTCGAAAACCCAAGGAGGGGTCGCTATGAGTTGGGGCCGACTCGATGGCACACAACAACAACAACAACAAGTAACTACTTAGAATTACAGGCAAAGGTTTTGAGGACTAATTACCCTTTCTAAGATGTGCTCATATGTAAAATGTTACCATATACTTGCAAAAAACTTGAGCTGGAGAGAGTGATCCAATATAAATGTGGGATATAAATGTTTCTAGTGCAATAGGATATAGTTTCTGATGTCATTTACACTCGAAATATTCCAATAAGAGGATTAAAATAGTTTGAGAGAAAAGAAAGAGAGCCATAAAGACCAAATAAACCTTCCTGAAGAGTTAAAAATGAAATTTAGGCCCTAACCTTCTAGGAATAGTAAATTCCACCAGTTACTAGTTTTGTGACCTTGGGAAATTTATCTAGCTTCTCTAATGCTTAGTTTCCTCATACTTAATAAATACCCTTTCACAGAATTATTTTAAAGACTAAATGGGACAAATCATATGAAAGCACCTAGACAATACTCAATAAATGTCAAACTTTTCTTCTAGTATTACAGTTTTATGCAAATTAATTAAAAATGCTAGTTCTTTTATGTTAATGTTCCAACCTATAATTAACAGCAGAGAATAAAATAATCACAACTTTCTCCCTAAAGCATCATTAAATTAGACAAGTACTATTTTATATTTGGGTAAATTATAAGCCAAGATTTTATTACTAGCTTCTGTGTTCACATTTAGACTACACAGAATTTAAAATTAAAATGTCTGTTTGAAATTTTGTAACACATAGCAATGCTTGTTTGTCAGGGTAGAAAATCAAGAATTAAGAGTTTTATGTCATTTTAAAAATGATTTTTTTGTTATACTTGCAAATTTTAACAAGTTGTTTGTCACAAATTATTTATCCTTTTATAATTTAGTAATTTTTATGTAATTTATAATAATTTTGTAATTATTTATTAAATACATAAAGTATTTAATTAGATTTCCCATTAAAAATTATATCTCATAACTCAAATCAATTCTTTCAGGAGTATTACAAGGAAACATTAATGTCCTTTAAAAATTATTTCTAAATAAAACAGTTAAATGAATGTATACAAAACTAACAGATTAAAAAACAGCACTGACATTGAATTATAGATGTAGAAATTGTTGAACTGATTTATGTTCTGTGTATATTTTCAATAACAGAAATAAATTATTAAAAAACCCAATGAAACATCAATGAGCCTTTATCCTTACCTTTTGCTTTCATAGCTACATATTCATTCAAAATTGTTGTCAAGTTTTTTCCAAATAAGGACTGAAAAGAAAAACAAAATTGAGCATTATCAAAATAATATAATGCTATCAATACCTTCCCACCATTAAACATTTAACTCTATGAAAGTCAAAAAAAGATACAGATTGCAGAGTATAGTAGGTCATCAAAAAATGAACAGTCCAAGGGTCCATCAACAGATGAGTGGATAAACAAAATGTGGCACATATATACAATGGAACATTACTGAACCATAAAGAGAAATGAATTTGCTACACATGCTATGACTTTTATGAACCTTGAAAATATCCTGCTGATATTATCCCATTTACATTAAATATCTAGAAAAGGGAAACTCACAGAAAGAAAAGTTATACCAGGGGCTGAGAGGAAGGGGGATTTGGAAGTTATTACTTAAGGGGTACCATTTAGGATGATGAAAAGCATTTGAAAATGGACATTGTAATGGTTGTACAATATGGGAATGTAATTGTATAATATACAGAGTTATATGTATAATGAAAGATGTTTTGTTTTATATATATATATATATATATATATATATAAAACCACACTAAAATTTAAAATTAAATATAATAGCTACTCAAGTTAGGGGTTACATCAATAGTCTAAGGATTAAGGTCTATTTTATCTGTGTAAGACAATCAACATGGATCTTGAGTTAAAAGACAGTTCAAGGGCAGAAAATTAGTTTTCAGATGGGAAATAGAAAGCTAGTCACACCACTATTTAAAATTGAGGACTGAATTATACTCTGCACTGGAATTCCTGAAAGCCATGTGAGCCTGTCGAAGTAATAATAGTGAGTGCATAAGAGATACTTTTCCCAAAGATCAGTACCTTCCTTATTTTCCCTTATACTGTTTCATCAACTCATCTATATTATCCTTCTGTTCTCACTACTACTACTGAAGGATAGATTTTTATCATCTTAAGTCCAAGGTTACAGAGTAGAACAGGGAAAAGAAAAGATGTAGGAGCTGACTATTCACCAAAGAGGATTTTCATCTCAACCACATTAGAATGCTAATGATCAAAAAAATGGAAAAAAGCAGGTGCTGGTGACATTATGGAGAAACAGCAACTTTCATCCACTGCTGGTGGGAATTTAAATAGTAATAGCCAGTGTAGAAAGAATGTGGTGGCTCCTCAAAAAGTTCAACATAGAACTACTATATAACCCAGCAATTCCATTCTTGGGTACATTGTACTTTTTCACATATATGCTCACATAAATAAAGCACACGTGCATATAATGTGCACAGCATGGGGGGGGAGGCGGTTGCATGGTTTGCAATAAACCGTAGAATGCAAGTGTTATTTTTGTAAAAACATGGTATACTCAAAAAGACTTGAAAGCAGTGATGGGAATCTACACATGTACACCAATGTTTATTATAGCACTATTCACAACAGCTAAAAGGCAGAAACAATTAAAATGTCCATCAGCTGATGAATGGATAAACAAAATGTGGTATATACACAATGGAATTTATTCAGTCACAAAAAGGAATGAAGTCGTGATGCATACCACAATGTGGATGACCTAGAAAACATTATGCTGAGCAGAACAAGTAAGTTGCAAAATAATCAGTCACAAAAGGACAAATACGGTATGATCTCACTTATACGAAATAAGCACATTTATCAAAAGCAAAAAATTTGGTGGTTACCAGGGATAGGAGGGAGAGGGAAAGAAGGAGTTTTGATTTAGGTTGCAGTGAATGTATGTTAATGGTGGTGGGATAATTGAAAGAAGATAGAATGGTTGCACAACTTTAAGACTGTTATCAGTGTCACTGAATTGTATAAGCAGAAATTGTTGAACTGTTCTATGTTTTGTACTATGTATCCTCAACAAAACTGAAAAAAAGGAAAAAAAGATGAACATGAGAAACAAAAGACACAAAAAGATCCTATGGAACACAGTTCTACTCTGACACACGGGGTTGCCCTAAGTGAGAATCAACTTGATGCAATGTGGTCATTACTTCTAGTAAATGTTAAATAACTGCTAAATGAAATGACTGAATAATGAATTCCTTTTTGCATAGAAACCCTCAGTCTACCTCACTGCTATGTTTTAAGTGGACATGAGATTCCCAACACTTAACAGATGTTAGCAATTCCTCCCTTTGAGCTTTCACTCAGTCTCCAGGGCTGGCACTTGAACTCAAGACTACTAGCCTCCTAAACTGTAAGAGAATAAATCCCTTTTTGTTCAAGCCATCTCCATTTGTGGTTATTCTGTTGGAGTGACACTAGAGAACTAAAACAGTATCCTTCACCCAGCTCTTCCTTTCATGTTAACATATAACCATGGTATTTTTAACCAAATTAATATTACTACCAAACCAACAAAAACCAAACTCACTGCCGTCGAGTCAATTCAACTCATAGCAACTCCTCATTGGGTTTCCAAGGCAGTATCTCTACGGAAGTAGATTGCCCAATTTTCCTTCCAAGGAGTGGCTGGTGGGTTTGAACTGCCAGCCTTCTGGTTAGCGGTCACGTGCCTTTGGCACTATGCCACCAGAGTTCCTAATATTACCACAGTATTAAAACCCACCAGCCACTCCTCGGAAGGAAGGTTGGGCAATCCTACTTCCGTAGTGATACTGCCTCGGAAACCCAAGGAGGGGTTGCTATGAGTCGGGGCCGACTCGACGGCAAACAACAACAACAACAACAACGTTAAATATGCTATAGACTATATTTATATTTCACCAGTCTTTTTACTAATATCATTTTTCTGTTCCAAGACCCAAATTAGAAGACTACATTGCATTTAGTCATCATATCTTACCTTCAATCATTGACAGTTTCTCAGACTTTTATTGATTAGGTATTTTATAGATTACTCCTTGATTATATTTGTCTAATGTTTTCTCATGGGAGCTCTGGTGGTGTACTGCCTGAGACATATGACCACTAATCAGAAGGCTGGTGGTTCAAACCCACCAGCTACTTCTCAGAAGGAAGACTGGACAATCTACTTCCATAGAGATACTGCCTCAGAAACCCAAGGAAGGGTGGCTATGAGTTGAATCGACTTGACAGCAGTGAGTTTGGTTTGCTTTTTTTGTAACCACAGAGATGAAGTGCCCTTTTTAATCACATCATTATCAGGAGGTACATGATATCAACATGATTTATCACTGGTGATATTATCCTTGATCGCTTGGTTCAGATGTATCTGCCAAGTTTTTCTACCCTAAAGTTAGAATTTCCCCTTTTCTATACACTATATGTTAGGAGCTCTGGTGGCACAGTGCCTAAGGCATTTAACTGTTAACTAGAAGGTTGGTGGTTGAAACCCACCAGCTGCTCTGTGGAAGAAAGATGGAGCAATCTACTTCCATAAAGACTTACCCCCTTGGACCCCAATGGGGGTTGCTATGAGTCAGAACTGACTCAATGGCAGTGGGTGTTTTAACACACCGTATGTTAGAAGAAAGTCACCAATTCAAGCCCATACCCTTGGAGAAGAGTATTAAGATTTGTCCCTTCTTTCATATTCATTAACTCAGTATTTTATTTACATCAGTGTGTATATTTATTTTATTATTTGGGTTATAGTCTAATACTACTCATTACTGATTTTATTGTTCATATTGTTCCAGCACTAGACACTGAAAGCTCTATTAAGTTGACCCAGTGTCTTTTTTTTCCCTTCTCCTTAGCACTTTCCGGCACTACAAGATGCTGCAAGTGTATCATGTATTTTTGCTGCCTCAGTCCTAGGATCAACCATTTTTCTTAGAAACCGTGGGTCCTTTTGTTGGAGAATTACGATCTGGGTGCTCGGTGTGCTTGTTATACTGGATTATCATTGTCTCGAGACCCACGCATAGACAGACACTTACACATATCAACCCATATATAAAAACATTATCTTATTCCTGTACCTATCTGTACACATACTAAAACAAACATGACTTCATATGAGTATCTCAAACTGTCATCTAGAACCACAGGTTTCACTCTGAAACTAATTTCTATTTTCTTTCTCACATGGTGAGAATTTCTCTCCCATTATGTAGAACTTTAATTTGTTCAAAATTGCTAACTTACAGCCTTATGAAAAGCCAATTTAGCAAAGAGTTCAATGCTTATGTATCTTTCTTTTTCTCCTTGTTGTTGTTATGTGCCGTTGAGTTGGACTCCACTCATAGCAACCCCTCCTTGGGTTTTCGAGGTGTTATCACTATGGAAGTAGATTGCCCAACCTTCAAGGAGTGGCTGGTGGGTTTGAACCTCCAACCTTCTGGTTAGCAGTCAAGTGGCTTAGGCATATTAAGTCAAAACACTTTTTCAATGGTTCTTCAGGTAGCTCCTTTTTTTCCATTCCCTTTAGTACAGTTACCTCATACGTTCTTAACAAAATTAAGATCTATATTTTATAGGCTACATTCCATCCTGAGATCCCTTCACATGAAGGTTGAGTCATCTTTTTTTTTTTTTTTTTTTAAAGGAATGTCTTTTTTAAAGGATATCCTTTTTTAAAGGATAGTCTTTATTTAAAATAAGAAAAAATATCATTAGTCAAGAGATTGCCATGTTATTGACCCTAGGCCAGTTGCTTTTACATTTCTGTCAAATCTTCATCACAGTTCTCTTAAGTTGGTATTATACTCTTTTTCTTTTATTTATTTTTATTTTATCTTTACAGTGTTCTCTCCTCTCCTCTCCCACCCCTGGTAACCAACTAAGAAAGTTTCCTTCCATATATAAGCCTTCCCTTCACTTTTTACAATAATGAATTAACACAGTATTTGTCCTTCTGTTATTAACCTATTTCATTCAGCATGATGTCCTCCAAGTTCATCCATATTATATGGTGTTTTGTAGATTCTACATTATTCTTTAGGGTTGCACAGGATTCCACTGTATGTATGTACCATAGTTTGGTTATCCATTCTTCTGTTGATGGGCACCTATGTTGTTTCCATCTTTCCACTACTGTAAATAGTGCTGCGATGAACATGGGTATGCCTGTATCTGTTCTTGTCCTGGCTCTCACTTCTTTAGGATATATACCTAGTAATGGGATCACTGGATTGAATGGTATTTCTAATACCAACTTTTTAAGGAATCGCCATACTGCTTTCCACACTGGTTGTATCATTTGACAGTCCCACCAGCACTGTCGGAGAGTCCCAATCTCCAAACATCCTCTCTAGCATTTGTTATTTTCTGTCTTGTTGAACTTTGCCATTAGTGCTGGGGTGAGATGGTCTCTCACTGTTGTTTTGATTTGCATATCTCTGATGGCTAATGATTGTGAGCATTTCTTCATATATTTGCTGGCCACCTGAATATCCTCTTTGGTGAAGTGTCTATTCATGTCTTCTGCCCATTTTTCAATTGGATTGTTTATCTTTTTGTTGCTGAGGTGTTGGAGATTTCTATAAATTTTAGAGATAAGTCCCTTGCCAGATATGTCATTGCTGAATATTTTTTCCCAATCTGTAGGTTCTCTTTTTACTCTTTTGAAGCACATAAAAATTAAATTTTTAGAAGATCCCATTCATCTAGTTTCTCTTCAGCTGTTTGTGCATTTTGGGTTATGCTTGATAGTCTATTTATGTCAATATATTAAGGCTCCTAAATTTGCCCCTATTTTTTCCTTGAGGAACTTTATAGCTTCAGGTTTCACATTTAAGTCTTTGATCCATCTGGAGTTCGTTTTTGTGTATGGTTTGAGGTATGGATCTTGTTTCATTTATCTAAAAACGGATATCCAGTTTTGCCAGCACCATTTATTAAACAAACATTCTCTTCTCCATTTAATGGATTTTGGCACTCTGTCAAAGATCATCTGACCACAGGTCGATGGATCTATTTCTGGGTTCTTAATTCTATTCCACTGGTCTATGTGTATGTCATTGTACTAATACCAGGCTGTTTTGACTACTGTAGCTGTAGTAGGTTTTGAGGTCCAGGAATGTGAGACCTCCTACTTTGTTCTTCAATAGTGCTCTGCTTATCCAAGGTCTTTTTTCTTTCCATACAAAATTAGTGATTGGTTTTTCCATATCCTTAAAGAATGTTGATGGGATCTGGATTGAGATTGCACTGAATGATTGCTTGGGGTAGTACTGACATTTTCACAATGTTCAGTCTTCCTATCCACAAGCATGGTATGTCCTTCCATTTATGTAGATCTCTTATGGTTTCTTGAAATAGTGTTTTGTAGTTTTCTTTGTACAGGCCTTTTGTGTCCCTGGTAAGATTTATTTCCAAGTATTTTATTTTTTTGGTAACTACTGTAAATGGTATTGATTTCATTATTTCCTTTTCAGCAATCTCTTTGCTAGTATAGAGGAATCGAACTGATTTTTTTATGTTGGTCTTGTATTCTGCCACTATGCTAAATCTCTCAATTAGTTCCCGCAGTTTCCTTGCTGAGTCTCTTGGGTTTTCTAGGTATGGGATCATATCATCAGCACATAGGGATACTTTTACTTCTTCATTACCAATTTGGATGCCTTTGATTTCCCTTTCTTGCTTTATTGCCCTGGCCAGGACTTCCAATACAATGTTGAATATAAGTGGTGACAGAGGGCATCCTTGTCTGCTTCCCGTTCACAAGGGGAATGGATTCAGTCTCTCCATTGAGAATAATGTTGGCTGTTGGTTTTGCATATATGCCATTTATTATGTTGAGGAATTTCCTCTCTATTCCTATTTGAAAGTTTTTATCAGAAATGGGTTTTGGGACTGGCTGCTCTGAAAAGCCGTCTTTGCATTGTTCCAGCGTCTGACTTCTTGCTCGCCGCAGCCACCTCCGCCGTGCACCTCCTCCTCCGCCGCAGACTCCGGCAGCTTCCTCACCAGAGTCCCCGAACTCGCACTTTCTTTGTAATCCGCTGCATTGCATCACCGGCGTGCCCCACCCTGTCAGACGCGGCTGTGGACACCAGCTCCGAGATCACCACCAAGGGCTTAAAGGAAAAGAAGGAGGTTGTGGAGGAGGCAGAGAATGGAAGAGATGCACCCGCTAACAGGAACGCTAATGAGAAAAATGGGGAACAGGAGGCTGACAATGAGGTAGATGAAGAAGAGGAGGAAGGTGGGGAGGAAGAGGAGGAGAAGGAAGAAGGTCATGGTGAGGAAGAGGATGGAGATGAAGATGAGGAGGCTGAGGCAACAACGGGCAAATGGGCAGCTGAAGATGATGAGGATGACGATGCTGACACCAAGAAGCAGAAGACTGATGAGGATGACTAGACAGCAAGAAAGGAAAAGTTAAACTTAAAAAAAGAAGAAAAAGAAAAAAAAAAGGCCACCATGACCTATTCACCCTCCACTTATTACCTAAGTTTTGTTGTTTGTTTAGGGCTATTGTAAATAAGCAAGTTTGTTTAGGGCTATTGTAAATAAGCAATACTTGAGAGTCATGTTTAAAATAAAATAGCAAAGTAGCACTTTAAATAATGTAGTTTTAGAATATTTCTATCATGTACCAAATGATGCTCTGTTGGTCAACTGATATTTTAAAAATGGATGACATCAGGTGTGGTAGTTAAAGTTATAGTTAAGGTTAAATCCCTGTTTGTTAAAGTTCTCTAACTAGAGGGCACCAGAAGGCCAAAACATCAGGTATCAAAATACCTGGTTTATATTTGTCAGAAGTAAGCAACCAGATATAAGACTCAAAACCAAACTCACTGCCACTGAGTCAATTCTGACTCACGGCAACCCCCACTGGGTTTCCAAGACTGTAAATCTTTACAGAAGCAGACAGCTTTATCTTTCTTGTACAGAGCGGCTGTTGGGTTCAAATCGCCAACCTTTTAGTTCACAGCCAAATGCCTGAACCACTGTACCAGCAGAGCTGCTTAGAAATAGGTCTAGCAGTTTAAAAAAAAAAAAAAAAAAGCTATAAGGACAAGCAGCAATGAAATGAATCAGAAATGAGGGTCTTACTGTGAAACTGATTCTCATACGAGGCAAGGTTATAATTCATTAAATAGCTTTGGCATAAATGTGTTAAGAGAAAGAACAACTGGCCTTTTGTTGAGCCTTTTCAGTCATACATGAAGACAAACATCAAATTTCCCCCAACTCTGACTTTGCTGATAAGCTTATTATTACTAATTTAAAAAAATTTTCATTTTGAAATAATTCAAATTTATAGAGAAGTTGAACAGTTTAAGTATTTACTATTACCATATGCCTTTTGATAAGCTTATTTTAAGATTATGTTTATTGTCTCTTAAGTTGCTACATGATGAAGTATTTCCTTTAAGGAACCACTCACTCACCAGTAAGCAGGCTGGGATAAAACCTTCATCTGTACAGTGTTCTGCATATTCTTTTAAATTTGAACTTTCCAAAATAAAAGTCTGGCAGGTAGAAGTGAGGTTTTCTTGTTGTAAGTAACCTAAATGAAAAATAAAAGTATAGATACTTTCAGTCAATTCTGCACTTTCTGTAAAACTCCTGTTGAAAACCCTAGAGCAGTTACCAATTTCATGAATGGAGCCTTAGATGAAAGTGTTATTAGGCACCTTTGCCCAGAAATACCATGTTGCACTGCAACACAAAGTGGAATGTAAAGAATAGAGGATATGTGAATAAGGTGTTTGACAAAGTTCAAGTACTCCACATTAACACTTTCAGGATAATTAGTCGTTATTGGTTAATAATACTGAACATAAATAAAACTGACTACGTCAATAAGTAGTGTTCTTCCACTCACTAGATAAACAAAACACTACATTCTCCCAGCATGACTATTTATTTGTATAAACCAAAAACCAAACTCACTGCTACTGAGTTGGATCTGACTCATAGTGACCCCTCCTTGGGTTTCTGAGGCTGTATCACTATAGAAGTAGATTGCCCAACCTTCCTTTCCCTTCCGAGGAGTGGCTGGTGAGTTTGAACTGCCAGCCTTCTAGTTAGCAGTCTAATGCCTTATGCACTATGCCATTCACCTTCATGCCTAACAGTTTAAGGAAAACAAAAAACAAAAACAAAAAACAGAACCATACCTACTTCAAATAAAAGGTAAAAAAGGAAAGGAATTCCTTTTCTGATTTTTAATTTATGCCCTTCAGGAATCAAAGCTCTACTATTTCAACAAGAACTTTAACATTCACAGAGCAATGCAATGTATCAGTATTTGGTATTTTCATACATAAGCATGTGTTGTTTGTCCTCACATCTATCCTGACTCACAGTGACCCCTCCTTGGGTTTCCAAAGCAGTTAACTCTACAGAAGTAGATTCTTACCTATAAACATTAGACTTGCCTTGATTTATGGAACATAATCTGGTCACATTACAGTACTCTTAGACTCTTAGGTTGAATTCCTAAGTTCTTTGTGACATCACATAAAATGGCAGAGCAAGGACCTCTAAAAATTCCCTCCTTCTGAGAACACTAGCAAAAATGATCAAAATCAACTTTCTCAGAACTTTGGAAATTAGTCAAAGGCTTGCAGCATTTGGGGAACATTCATTCAAGAAAATCAGATCAATGTTGACAAGATTTTTCCCTGAAGGGGAAAAAGGCTTTGCAAGGCTGAACATGGTCACCCTTTAGGTTTGCTAAATCATTCTTATATAACTTCTACTGGGGTGGGTTTGTAAATCCAAAACCCAAAGTCCTGGAGTATAGCCTCTGCCGTGTAGCCATAAAATCCCCGCCTCCCTTTGTGGGGTGTGGAGAATGAAACTGGTCCTCCTGCTGCCCAGAACCTGTCTCATATACTGGTTTTCCTAATCAACTCCTTTGTCATCACCACGGAGTTTGCCCACTTCTTAATTCAGCCTCATGATGACCTACGTTATTTGGCGGCAAATTCTGAATTACTGGTCCCTGCAGTGACCACTGGTGAGCTAGCTAGGAAGCCGAGGTAATGGTAAGTGTGAGTAAGACCTCTGCAGGGGAAATCACAACTTGACCAGAACTTTCATGTGGGGAGGTTTGGCTTGTATGCTTGATGCATATAGACTACCACACACATACAGCGACAGCCTGAAAACACCAAGTGGTACAGCACTGTTGTAGGAAAATGCATACCTTTATTAGTGTGGGAAGGAGGGTAGCAACGTGGTGGTGGGTGTGGGGCAGTTGCTGCTCTGGGCCATTCAGCTAGGCACTAATGCCCAGTTAGTAACTGAAGCGGCCTAAGAGTGCTGCTGGAGAAACTAGTCAGAAAGGATGTGTGACAGTCGTGTATGACCACAACTGACATTCTGAATAGCTAGCTGCCTAAGTGACTCAGATGTAGAGGTGATTGTAGAAGAGCCTGTTTTGTGAGCAGCCCCTTTGGGCAAGACAGTTAATTACCCATAAGATGCAAGTTATCTGCAAGCCTTCTGACCACACACAGGAAATTTCACTTGCCAGTTCCATGACAATGCAGGAATACACCCCTACTGAGTTGAGAGCTGTGTGGGAAACTCTAGCAGGAAGGGAAGTAGACAATAGCAGCTTGGCTGTTAAGGTAGTGGGATATCAGGGGTGATGGTGTCTCTTAAAATTGAACCAAGGCAGAAAAATGAGAAGCATTGTGACCTGCCACTCTTTCTGACAGAGCTTACAGGCAGCTCAGAACACAGAGGGCAGACACACCCTCAGATTGGATCATCTTCTTGTTGTTGTTGTTGTTAAGTGCCGTTGAGTCATTTCCGACTCATAGCGACCCCACGCACCGGAGAACGAAACACTGCCCAATCCCGCGCCAACCCCACAATCCCTGCTATACTTGAGTCCATCATCGCAGCCACAGTATCAATCCATCTCCTTGAAGGCCTCCCCCTCTTTCGTTGACCCTCCACCCTACCAAGCATGACATCCTTCTCCAGGGAATGGTCCCTTCTGACAACATGACCAAAATAGGTGAGACCAAGTCTAGCCATTCTTGCTTCCAAGGAGCATTCTGGCTGCACTTCCTCCAGGACAGATCTGTTAGTTCTTTTAGCAGTCCACGGTACTTTCAGCATTCTTCGCCAGCACCACAACTCAAAAGCATCAACTCTTCTTCGGTCCTCCTTATTCATTGTCCAGCTCTCACATGCATACCAGGCAATTGGAAATATCATGGCTTGTGTCAGGCGCACCTTAGTCCTCAAGGAGATATCCTTGCTCCTCAGCACTTGAAACAGTTCCTTCGCAGTTGACTTTCCCAATGCTACACATCGTCTAATGTCCTGACTGCTCCTTCCGTTGGCATCGATTGTAGAACCAAGCAACGTGAATTCCTTGACAACCTCAATCTTCTCTCCATTTATTGTGATGCTGCTCATTGGTCCAGTTGTGAGGATTTTTGTTTTCTTTATGTTGAGACGTAATCCATACTGCAGACTGTATTCTTCAACCTTCATCAGTAGGTGCCTTAAGTCATCCTCACTTTCAGCAAGCAAAGTTGTATTGTCTGCATATCTCAGGTTGTTAATGATTCTTCCTCCAATCCTGATGCCACGTTTTTCTTCATATAGTCCAGCTTCTCGGATTATTTGCTCAGCATATAGATTGAATAAGTGTGGAGACAGAACACAACCCTGATGCACTCCCTTCTTGATTTTAAACCATGTAGTGTCCCCTTGTTCTGTTCGAACGACAGCCTCCTGGTCAAGGTACAGATTCCTCATGAGTACAATCAAGTGCTCAGGAATTCCCATTCTTCTCAACGTTATCCATAATTTGTCATGATCCACGAAATCAAATGCCTTTGCATAGTCAATAAAACACAAGTAAACATCTTTCTGGTATTCCCTGCCTTGAGCCAAGATCCATCTGACAACAGCTATGATATCCCTTGTTCCACGTCCTCTTCTGAATCCGGCTTGAACCTCTGGAAGTTCTCTGTCAATATACTGCTGCAAACGTTTCTGAATTATCTTCAGTAAGATCTTACTTGCATGTGATATTAATGATATTGTTCTATAATTTCTACATTCCGTGGGATCACCTTTCTTTGGAATTGGATCATCTTGTGTTGTAGGAAAGAAATATTGGCCAAATGAGGGAGCCTTTCTTCCTGGCACAGTTGGGAAGTGATCTTTTGTAGAGGAGCTCCAGCAAGTGATAAGGGAGCTAGGTATGTGTCACACCACTTATAACGAACATGTCACAGGCCCAGAGAACAGATTTTATATTATAGGAATGAAAGCAAATATCTTACAGGTAGGTCCCACCCTCCTGGTATGGTACCCTGGTAGTCATAATGAGTTCCTTAGTGGCACAGATGGTCTGCAAAGTGGGATAAGCTATAGCCAACCTAGATGAAACTGAAAGTGTTAAAGAGGTGTGAACCATGGAGTGGGGGGGGGGGGAGGAGGCTGAAAACCTTGTAGGATGACCAAACAAGGGCCCACTAAAACTTCCTGAAAGCAGGCATAGGTGGCCTTACCAGGATAGCAGTAGAAAGGACAACCTGCTGCAGTTTTTTGGTCACCCTCTTGAAGACTATGAATCCAGAGCAAGAATACTGCTGAGAGCCCCATGTCTCCGCGTAGACCTCATCAATGCTTAGGGATTGGGGTTGGGCCAAGGTCACCCATAGTTCAGGACTCTGTGGGAAGACCAAAGGCCCCACACAGAGCTCACAATACACTGGTAAGGAGAAACAAGCAGTGGGTGCTAGCTCTGGTTGTTACAGGGGAAGAAAGTACTCTTATCTTTGGAAACTCTGAACAGTCAAGCTCCCCCAACCCCTGGTAATTGATAGGTATGGCAGAAAACCCATCTGTGTATGTCAGACATTCTTGACTCCACAAATAGGGCATATTTCCCTAAACTGGATCAAGTTTATATTTCCTCAATACTGAATACATTCTAAAGGTGGATGTACTCATGGGATTGATTCTAATTATGTCTGCAGGAGAATTCTGACTGGGGGTGAAGGTGGGAAAAACAGTCCTGAGGGGGAATGTGGCATGGGAACCAGTGACCGTTCCCTCACCACTAAAAGTCATGAACATTTAGACAATGTAAGTTGTCTGGAGGACATAAGGAAATCAGTGAAACCATTTTAGAAGTGAAAAAGGAGGTATTCTCCGGGAAGCCCACAGTGCTTTTAATAACCTTTTGTGGCCTGTGAACAAACAGATGACTTGGCATATGACTGTGCACTACAGATAACAAGATTCCCCCATACATGCTGCAGTCCTGAATACATAACCTCCCTGTTAGAAATCTCTAGTGGAGACTTGGACACATATAATGCTGTGTTAGACCTGGCCAATGTGTTCTTTAGCATCCCTGTAGCCCTGTCCACTCAGGATCAGTTTGCCTTCACCTGGGAGGGACAGCAATACACATTTCAAATGCTACCTCACAGGTATCTATACAGCCTATTTACAATGGTTTGGCTGCTAGGGACCTCTGTTTCCTTTTCCTGCTATTGTCCATTGGTTTCACTGCATTGATGACATCGTGTTAACTGCCAAAGATGTTTCTCTGTTATAGGATTGTCTGGATCCACCTACAGGGAGAGAATGGGCAGTGAATCCCTAAAAGGTACAAGGGCAGGGAACATCAGTAAAATTCATAGGGCTCATCTGGTTGGGTAAGACCTGTGTGTTGCCAGAAGCCAGTCAATAAGATACAAGCTTACCCCACCCCTAGCATACCAAAAGAATTGCAGGCCTTCATGGGTCCTTTGTTGCACTGGAAGGTATTTATACTCTTGGTCCAGTGCTTCTGACCGCTCAACTGGTATAAAAAGACGCCTCTTGGGATTGGGACAAAGAACAGCAGCAAGCTTTTGAGAAAGCAAAGGTGTTGGCTACACAAGTGAAAGCACTGGATACAAAACAACAAGGGCTACCATTCAGGTTAAATGTGAACAGCACTGAGGATGGGGGCTTTGTGGCAAGATCATGATGGAATTAAAGTCCCCCTAGGTTTCTGGTGTGCAATGGGGGTGGGCATGGCAGCAGAAAATTGGTACTGCCCAATAGAAAACAACTGTTGGTGGTCTGTAATACTCTTCCCCAAGTGGAACCATTAACAGGCAGGAGCTGTAACGCTCTGCACAGTTTTGCCTATTAATGGATGGATGACTTGTTTTCCAAGATGTCATGAGCTATTGCCCAGACAGCTACACTGACCAAATGGCATGCATACATGCAACAGTGCAGTGCCCCTTCTGTTAGTCTTTTGTCACAAGAGTTACAAGCTGTATTTGCTCCAGCGACACATCAAGACCACCATCACAGGCCAGCATGCTGCCATAACTGCCTCCCTTCTCTAAGAGACAAGGCCTGTGCCAGTAAATGCCTAGTACACAGATGGTTACAGCTGGGATATGCCACCATTATGTGTACTGGTGGATGTACAAGCATCTGCTGATATTATCTGGTTTGAAAGTGGCTCAGGGCAAAACAGCCAATAGGCCAAATTAAGGGCTGTATGGGTGATCATCACCCACGGGCTCTAGGCCTGAACTCTTTGTACAGACAACTGAGTGGAAGCCTATGGATGAACTATGTGGCTTGGCCAATGGTATAAGGACCAGTGGACTAAATGGGCAAAGTCTTGTAGGAGAAAGTTCTGTGACAGGACAATGAGGATTGCTTCCAAACATCTATTTTTCATGTAGCAGTTCATTTACCTCTTTCTCAGCTGGGACCAAGAAGAACAAGTTAGAATGGTATATCCAGAAGGGGAAGCTACCCACTGGATTCACCACAAAAGTGGACATCATAGTGCCTATATTGGTTGGAAAATAGTCAAAGAGGCAGGCATAGCAGTTAAGTATAGTGATTTGGTGGTTACTGTACAAAATTACCCTGTGTGCTCATGCCAATGCCCTGTGATCCTGGAAAGATACAGAAAGGAACAAAGCCAGTGATGGATTGGCAGGTAGATTATATAGGGCCTTTACCCCAGTTACGAAATGAAATATACTCATGTGTGTGGATATGGTTATCAGCTTAAACTAGGCTACTAATTACATAATTAAACATAATGTATGGGATAATCCAAAGAATTGATAGTGGCCAGGGTACACACTTCACAGGTCACAATGTATGTGAATTGGTGGGCAAGAATAAGGTACAGTGGCACTACCACCTACCCTACAATCCTCCAGCTGCAGGCCTGCTGGAACGAACAGCATTCTAAAACAACAAATATGAACTCTTATAGGTAAGGCTTCCCTGGCAGGATAGAACAAAGTGCTGCTTGAGGAATTGAGGTTGATAAATTAGGCTCTCACTTGGGCCTTAGCCCCCATACACTTACTAGAAGCCCTCAATGATTCTCCAACAACACAAGTGATGTCATAGGCTCTGGAAGCATATCCACCAAGACTGTTATCAGAACAAAACATCATGGTACTCCAAACATGACAGGGCCTGGTACCAGGAAGTAGAATCATCCACTGGTGATTGCTGTAGGTTACTCAGCTGGGGTGGATTCATTAGTTTGTCCTTTGGAGGCAGAGGAACTGACTGGCCTAATGTGGAAGCCCACCATCCTATTGCATGGAAAGCCTCAACAGTCACTCTTCACATGGAATAGAATGATGCATGAAAGTGGGTCTCCTTTGCTGGCATACGGCAAAACAGGTAATTTTATACCCAACCCCTCAAGTGACTGCCCTGGTACACTCAGCCAAGGAAAATGTCTAAGGGAGCTGCTGTTCTCACTACCTGAGGGGAAGCTATTAGCGTGCTCCCAATAGAAGGGGAAAATTTACCCCTCTTGATATCTACTGAACATCTGTTTTTCAGACTGTAGGTATCTCCTCCTATATTTTCTTCCCTTTGGGTCTGCCAATATCTTCCTAAAATGGACTGACAGCTTCACCAAAGTCCACCAGAAAAACAGCTGCTGGACCTATAGATAACTCCCCTTCTCAAGCACTGACGACATACCTTGGAGTGTGGACCCCAGGCTGGAACCAATTAGGTAGCTTGTGAGACACATGTAGGGGTATACTCATGCCTCTGTGACTAACTGGGGTATAACACTTGCAACTAAGTGGGGTTAACCTTAAACACACCTGATGGCTGGTTTGCTGTAAACCAAAAACCAAACTCACTGCTGTCAAGTCAGATCTGACTCACAGCAACCCCCTTTGGGTTTCCAAGGTGGTATCACTACAGAAGTAGATTGCCCAAACCTTCCTTCCAAGGAGTGGCTGGTGAATTTGAACCGCCAGCCTTCTGGTTAATGGTCAAATGCCTCAGGCACTATGCCACCAGAACTATAACTAGCTGTCTGTTTTTCCTCTTTCACCTCTGGTTGGCAAGGTTTTTTTTTTTTTTTTTTTAAAACTGTCATTCATATTTTAACTGTTTTTTTTTTTTTTTTTTTTTTTGTGCTGGGTCTTGATTTCTCCTGGGTATTGGGCTGTTCTGCTGTGCTTATCTATATTGCTGTTTGTCTATATTACTGCTGTGGTATGTGTCTCCAAATACAGCAACAATTCTGTCCCTACCTACAGTTGTAACATCTCTCCTTGGGGCCCTCAGGAACACTGCAGAAGATGGAGGACATACACCTCATGGGGTGAACTGAAGGGGAAATAGGCTTTGCAAGGCCAAACATAGTCACCTTTTGCTTTCTGCTAGCTCACATCTGATTGCTTTTCTTTTTCATGTCTATATACTGTGCTTTATTATAATGAATTTTTTAATTTTTTATTTTATTGTGATTTGGTTGAAAGTTTACAGAGCAAATTCATCTTTCATACAGCAGTTCACACACACTGTCTCATCACATTGACCATAATCTCCCACAATGCAATAGCTCTCCTCCCACTTCCGCCCTATAGCCACCTCTCCCGTGTCCTTCACCTCCTATGCACTCCTGCCCCCTGAGCCATTCTCCCTGTGCATACACAGCCCTTCTATTCTCCCATGATTGATCTCTCCAAGGAATGAATGTACCTAATACAAATGTTCAACTCATATGCCTGTTTTTTGTTTGGCTGGAAGCCACAGGAGTGGCTTCAATTCCAGACCTGAAGGGCAGCTAGGGGCCATAGTCTCTGGGGTTCCACCAGGCTCCACTGGACCAGCAAACCTGCCCTCCACCTTTTTTTTAATGATTTTGACTTTTGTTCCACATTGTTCTCCCACTCCATTCAAGATCTCCCACAGAGATCCCCCCCGAGTGGCTGACAGTGGTAGCCGGGCACCATCTAGTTCTTCTGGTCTCATAGTTACATGATGAGGACTGCATGGTGTACCTGTCCCCTGGACTAATTATTTCCATGCGTCTTTGGTTTTCTTCATTCTTTTTTGCTCTGGACAAGGAGAGACCCATCGCTGCATCTAGATGACTGCTTGCAAGCTTTTAAGATCCTAGTCACTACTCACCAAAGTAGGATGTGAAACAATGTTTTTGTGTAGTATGTTATGCCAATTGACCTTGATGTCCCCTGCGACCATGGTCCTGAGCTAACAGGTCCAACTACTTGCTCCCTCTGGGTAGCTGGCTGTGGCCAAGAAGTGACTACAACCTTGTCCCTTGTCAGCTCTACTATATACCT